GAGGGAAGTGGCTGTCTTAAAGATGGCCAAGTATCAGGAAAGGATTTCCAGACTTCACAACAAAAAAGTCAAGACTAGAGGATTTCAGATCGACGACCTGGTGCTCAGAAGGGTGGTGGCCAATACACGGGACCTAGTCGATGGGAAGATGGGGTCCAACTGGGAAGGACCCTACAAAGTGGTGTCGATAGGAGGCTCCGGATAGTATAGACTAGAAGATATGGGGGAAAAATCTATAACACGGCCTTGAAATATAATAAATCTGAAGAAATATTATTTTTGAGCATTCCCCCTCTCCACACTTATGATTGACTATTTCAAAAGGGCAAGGCCCTAGAGGCGAAGTCCTAGAGACTCCTGCCTTCGAATAAAAATCAGGAGCAAGCCTCCTAGAAAGGGCATGTCCCATGGGTGGAATCTTGAGGGTCACCCCGAACCTAAAAGAACAATGAAGCGAATGAACACCCTGATCTCGGTGTCAACCACTTCGAGGCGCGCCCCCTAAAAATGATGAAGCTGAACCAATCGGGGAGAATCAGCTGAGTCCTCCCTCGGCGTTGGAATTATGGAAGACATCCAGTTATCCTTACTTGTTTCTAAGGCATCAAAGTGTTTCAAAAATTAAAAAAATAATAATAAATATATATATATATATATATATATATATATATATATATATATTTATATAATACAAAGTAACAAAAGAGGATTCTTCCATTACAAAGAGAAACGGGGTTTTGCGTCCCCGAGAGCTACAAAAAAAATAAATATATATATATATATGTAACACAAGTTCAAAAGCAAAAATCCAAAAGCTGGAGAACCGATCATCTCGTTCCTGACATCTCTACTACGTTGCTGCAAGGGGAGTCGATGTTGAAGGGATTAGCAACTTCTAGAACGGACGAAGCAGGGACCAAAATAGCAACAAGCGGGACTGGAGGAGGGCTTGATTCGGGGGCGGAGGGGCTTGACTCTAGCAGGACATCATCAGATGGAACTAGGATGACCACTTCAGAAGGCTCTACTGAGGCCGACACTAGGACTGGGCCCGCTTCCTCAACAGTAACCTCGCCCCCAGCCTGCACCATCTTCGCCAAGGGCACGTAGAAGTGCATTTGGAAGAGGGGAGAGTCTGAAGGAACCTCAGCTACTCGGAGCGCCTCATCCCAGCCCTTTTTGAAGAACTCCTTGTTGTTCTCCTCAAGGGTAGGCAACATATCATTGACGAATTTCTCTCGGATCTGTTCCTCCGACCTCCTATTGTTCTCCGTTTCAACCCTGACCCTGTCGAGCTCCTGAGTAAGGGCTAGGCAGTTCTCCTCCGATCCGATGGCTCTTGTTTCAGCCAAGGATAGCCGTTTCATCTGCTCCGTAATCCTTCTCTCAGCATCGGCCAGGGTAGCACTTAACTTTTCAGCGCCGACCCTTGTTGATTCGCCGTCCTTGAGCAGTTGCTCAATCCGGACTGTCTGGGCCGCCAGGATGATGTCCCTGGCAGCCACGTCCTCCTTAGTGGCAGTAAAGGCCCCTTCAACCTTTTCCTTCTCTTCCTCGACTAACTGAAGATTCTGTCTGGCTTCGTGATAGCGAGTAGTGATCACCGAGATCTATTGGGCAGCCTGCGAGAAAAATAACTTTGTTAAATCACAGTTGATAGAATAAGGGAGGACCAAACAGAAGTGAAACTCACCACCAAGGAGTTCTGAATGATTGAGCGGAACAACGAGTTCGTTGTTCGCTCCCGATGAGCCTCCATATCGACCCCAAAGTGAAGTGTCTCACTCACTCTATAAGCGACATGGGGGTCCTGTAAAATGGAATCATCGACCCGGATCACCCTACTCATGTGATCAAGGGCCCGAAGATTCCACTCTGTCGTAACCTCTGTCCGAGGCTGGGGAGATAGAGTTTGTTGTTGTTGTTGCTGATGGGGGGCCCCTCTCTCGGCCCCTGCCGCCTTGTTGCTAAGTGGAGGAGGCCCTGGTGCCTCTACCAAGGTCATCGTGCCTTTGTTTTGTTCTTCTCTCTTCCTCAACAAGAGGATCCCGATCATGCACCTAGCCTTGACCGGCGGGCTTTGGTGCTAAAGGGGGAATGTTGGTGTTGGCTCCTAAAGGTGGGGGGCGTGTTGCTTGTCGAACCTCTACCTCTCCCAGCAGCGAGAGACTGTCTTTACCTCAGGAAGATCAGATCGATCCGAGTTTGGCGCGACATGGCTACCTCCAGGGCGTACTCAGCATCCAAGGATTGGAGGATGTTGAAGTCAGGCCACGCCTCTCTACTGGAAGGACCCACCTCATCGTCTGAAGGTACAAAAGCCTCCCTAGCCCTGGGTTCCTCGACTTTAGTGTCTTCAATGACGCCCTCTACCTCTACCTTGGTGGCCCTGTCAGGATTTTCCTCTAAGTTTTGCTCGACCTCCTGCTGCTCTGTCTGATCAAAGAGCTCGAACCACCTTGAAGGGTCAAAAGGTTGGGGGAGCTGAGAGAACTTCTTGTATTCTGGTGTGTAACCCAGGGGGAGGTGACCAGCTCGGCCAAACCCGTTGTCGTCGACGTATTCCTAGACGATGATTAAATCAGCAAAGTTCACCAAATGCCGAGGAGGAGGGCGCGACTTCGCAAGTAGAGACGTCTGCACAAAAAAAGGGGGAGGTTGTTAAGACTTAGTGAGATATTCATGGACAATGAAAACACAATGAAAACTAGAAATATAAGAAGAGGCCAGCGTACTTTGTCGTTCTCCATTGCAGAGGACACCTTAGACTGACGTACTCGGGGCCAGTTCCCCTTTCCCAGGCCCCACTAAAGACCAGAAGGTCGTCTTGTATCCTTTGTCTGAGTCGGGGAGATGAGTCACTAAGTACATGGAAGGGTCCATGGCCTTGAGATAAAAGTTATGCTGGGACATTACCCTCAACAAGGAATAACAGAAAAGAATGTCATCAAGACCGAGGTATACCCCGAGGCGATTATTGAGTTTGAGGACCCCTATTATTATCCTAAAGAAATTCAAGCAACACTGCCCAGGGAAGAGATTGAAGCAAGAGAGAAATTGGAGGAGTAAAGGAGGCAGGGGAAACCTAATTCCTCCCTCTATGATAGCCTTTGTATAAAAAGGCATCTCATCCTCGGTCCCGAGGTTACGATGATGAAGAACATGGTCAAAATTGTCTATACCTATACTTCTGGGTATGCAATATCGGGCTTTAAAGTTATTGATCTACTGGTCCCCCTTTACCTTGTATTTCCTTGGCCTTGACGAACCAGCCTGTTTGGCCATGGTGTCAGGGCGATGTCTGGGTATCTCTACCGAAGGAATAGAGGTTTCTCTCCTAAAAAGGTCCAAAAGAGTTTTTTTCAAATCACTAAATAGGCTAATGGAGACCAGGAAGGGCATCGGTCACCGAAAAAACCAGAAAGAAAAAGGAAAGGGAAGAAAAAGAAAACAAGGACTCATTAGAGAGCTAGGGAAAGGGTCTTGAGGCTTAAAAGGACTTGTTTCGTCGATGAATGTCTGGTGGCAAGTGGTGCCGCAAGTGTTTTTGCTCCGATGGTAGCTGGAAAGGCGGTGGTGCAAGCTGGTTCTCTGAAGAGTTTTTCGGTAAAAGCTCTGGCAAAATTTCTTCGCATAAACTAAAGTGTGGGAAAGAGAGGGGGGTCCAATTTATATAGTAACTGTCCCCATCATTGTGCACGAAATACTAAGAGGCGCATTTAATGCGCACAATCCCCCAAGCGACAAAAAACGGCTGGGAGCAATGATGTGGTGGTTGGGGCATTTATGTAACCCTTCACCTTCTGACGACACGTCTCCCCTCCCCTGTATCAGAAGATCAAAGGGCTGGAGGGTAGTTGATGGGACATTTCTAGGAGAAGACAGAACAGAGACACGTGTCCTCGGCATCGTTATGATTCCAGCCAAACATAACCACGTGTCCTCGACGACATTCACCCTCTCTGCCCTCTGCCGAGGAGACAGTGCTCGGAGCCAAAGGATCCCCCCATAGCGACGTGGTCAACACATGTCCTCGGTTCGGTAAAAACCTTGACCCCCGAAGTAGACAAATGTTCCTCGATACCGAGTTGTTCCTTCTGTAGGCTGAATCCAACCTCTTCTCTGCTTCTACAAAAGATAATGATTGACTGATGGCTAGCCTAGGGTAGGCTAGACTAATCATCATGAAGACGCTCTGCTCAATGATGTCAGGAGGAGCAGGGATGCAGAACAGGCAACCAAGGAGGAGTGGATGCATGAAATTTGACATTAAATCAGTAGCAAAAAGACCTGGGTACCCCTGCTGACACATGGCTAGAACAAGTATTCATTTAATGAATCCCCTTCCTGATGAGACAGTATTTAAGGCATGGGGGCCGAGAAGTAAAAGACATTAAATGCTCCCATGCCTGGGCATTTAATGCTCCCTCGCCGAGGGAAGCACATTGAATACTCGGCAGGCCGAAGGGAAAGCGTCAATTACTCGACGTCCCGAGCAGTTAAGGTTGAACGCATTTCCCACTAAAGGAAAGGGGGGCACACTGCCCCATCTCTAATGATTGTCTACTAGCTATATTATTAGCAATGATGAGCTTTTTAAGGTATAAATAGTCTTTAAAAACATATTGCAAAAGTATGCAAAAACTCCCCAAAAGAACCACAGTGCTTTCTTCTTCCCCTCTCTTTCAAAGAACTGATTTGATCATTGGAGGGGATACACCGGAGAGCACTCCAGCACCCTCCTAACCTATTTTTCTGTCTCAGGATCCCCCTACAGTCTTTCAAGACTGGTCAGGTGATCCAACAAACAATTCTCCTTTGTCCCTCTCAATCTACTTCTTATTGCCAAAATCTACTTTCGGATGGATCGAAACTCTGCCAGAGGCGATCAGAGATTCTAAAAGTAAACCTTATATTCCGCCGAAATTACTGTTTTGTCGAACCACAGTTCATCGTGAGAGAGATATCTATTCCTACTCCTATTGTTGTGCGAAAATCAGCGCGCACAGGTGTCGATTCCTCTGTCGACTTTTCTACATGCTTGTGAAGATGATGCAGTGACAAAGCTGATCAATGAGAAAATACCATACTTCAATGGTCCAATTTATCTTCATAATAAGACCCAGATTGGCAAAGTTGATGAAATCTTTGGCCCAATCAATGAATCCGTGAGTGAACCACCTAAACTTTCGCTTCTGCTGATTCTTATCATTTTTGTTTCCAATTATGCTTATTTTGTTATGCAATCTGATATTTTTAAATTGTTTTTTTGGGTTCTCTATTTGTAGTACTTTTCTATTAAAATGATGGAAGGAATTGTGGCAATTTCATATACGGCGGGTGACAAGTTCTTCATTGATCCGGCTAAGTTTTTGCCACTACAAAGATTTCTTACACAGCCAAAGTATGTTTGCTGTTCTATGTTTACCTCTTTAATTTTAATTCTTGTTTTCCTTGTCCAATAGTTTACTTTGTACTTGGTGAAAAGCAATAGATTGCCTTGCTGTTCTTGTGTATATTTCAAATTGTGCAAATCAAATTGTGCACAAGGGATTGCATTTCTTTGTGGTCGACTTAGTTGAAGAATCTGAGAGTGCCATTTTCCAGGCTAGTCCGCTCCATATATCAATGCTTGTTCTTTGACTCATATTTTCCTTTGTTTCTGGCTTACTTGCTTGGGCTACCATTCATCTCTTTGATCACACAGTATTGAGTTTCTACTTTCGCAACTCAATTCTTGTAAATTTAGGTAAATGATTCTCGAAATTGAAACAGAAATCTTTTTCACCGACACGGATCTATGTTTTTCAGTGAAGAGCAATGCTTTTCAGTGCTTCTTTAGCTGATTATATCGTATCATCTAGCAACTCTCGCTGTAATTCACACCCTTAGAAGTTTGGTTTTGACTGTATTTGATTACCCACAGCAATATGGGATTCCCCTATGCACAGCTCTGTAACACAGCTCACCTGTAGGAAATGTTCACATATTGGATTGCAATTCCATTCTGCTGGTTACTGTGATATATAACGGGGAACCTAGTTGTAATTATTTATGGAACTGGAAATAGTGAAGTGATATGCCACTATATCAATGTATTTTCTGTCTTCCATATGGCCACTGTCCACCCCCACTCCTCTGTATAGCTTCTGCATGATATATCTTTATGGGCTTATTCGAGATCATGCCTTATTTTTAGGCATTATTATTAGACCAAGGTATAATAGTTTAACTTTTATGTATGTGCAGTTTTCAATCAAATTGTCGTGTTTTATTATTGTTACAGGGGACAACAAGCTGCTGCTCGAGGTGGAGGACCGGGGGGAGGTAGAGGTGGTGCGAGAGCTGGCGGAAGAAGCGGTGGGCGTGGGTTTGGTAGCTTTCGTGGAAGGGGTGCTCCAAGGGGTGGCAGAAGTGGCTCAAGAGGTGGCAGCCGTGGTGGAGGATTCAGGGGCAGAGGAAGGGGATAGAATACCAGTTTGTGCTTCTATGTATTGGTATTTTCCTCTCAAGCTATCATTACCAGATGCTTCGGATTAGCTAGAATAGTTTTATGATATATTAACTCTTGGTTGGTAGCGAAATGAGTACTTGGTCTGTTTTTCTACTTCACAAAATCTTTATTGCTTGGGGTGACTCAAAAGCAACTAGATGGAAGAAAAAAACTTATGCAACTTCAGTTGCACTCCTGCTCTGAAAAAAGGAGAGCTTAAAACAGAGTTCACAAGTTTGAAAGTGCAGCCGTAAACAATGCCAAGGAAAATCATACATAATAGTAAAGCCTTTCTCTGAGCTCTTGTGATAGATGCAGATAGACTAATGGACAAGAAATATTGAGCTTCATGGAAACCTCAATCCTTATTCAGTTAGGTGCCGCCTCAGGCTTCCCATCCCCGAAGAAGGGTTGCTCGGGCGACACGATTAACTCCGAGGGTGAAGGCTCCCATTCGGAGATCACAGTTGTGGGTTTTGCACATTTCCTTGACATTTTTGAAACCTTTAGTCATGTAGTTTTTCAGCTCAGCTTTCACTTTGTCCTCCTCCACATAAAGCCTTGGATGTTCTACGGGACACAACAAAATGGTCAGATAGATTAAAAACTATGCTGGCATAAAAAAGGCAGTCCAAGAC